CTCTCTCTCTCTCTCTCTCTCTCTCTCTCTCTCTCTCTCTCTCTCTCTCCCTCCCTCTCTCTCCCTCCCTCCCTCTCTCTCTCCCTCCCTCTCTCTCTCTCCCTCTCCCTCTTCTCCCTCTTTCTCTATCTTCTTTTATATGTATGTATTTATTAAATTGTAATTGAGAAAAAAATCACTCATTTTTATACATACGAAATGCAGCATAATTCAGAGGAAATAAACAATATGATAAAAAAATTTGAATCTGAAGCAATAGAATTGGAGCAAAAGTACGAACAAAAATTAACAAGTCAATATGAGTCCTTAATATTGAAACATCGTATGGAGATAACTGAAGTAGAGGAGAGGAAGAATGCGCAAATTGCGAATCTGATAAAGAATCACGAGAATGCATTTACCGAAATGAAAAATTATTACAATGATATCACTCTGAATAATTTATCGTTAATTAAGAGTATAAAGGTGAACTTTATAGTTATTATAAATTTTACAATTATAGAGTCACGGAAAATAAGAATCGATAATTTTTCAATTAACGTAGATTATCTTTTAATAGGAACAAATGGAAATGATGAAAAATAATGAAGAACGTATGAAGAAACAAGTACGAGAATTAACAACAGAAAATAAAAAATATTTGACTGACTTGAAAGCTTTGCAGGAAACGATTACCGAACTTAATCGTCAACTTGCAAATTATGAGAAAGACAAGCAATGCTTAGTTGTTGGTATTTAAAACATATCATTATATAATAGCGCTATGAAAAACTGAATTAATAATTATTACAGAACACAAAACGAAGATTATCCGTAGTGATGAAGGATTTAGAAAATTTAAAATGGGAAAATGAAGTTCTCGAGCTGCGTTTTGAAAAAGTAAAATATTTAAACAATACATATAACATTTTCAAAACATACATATACTATTTTTTATAAAATATTTCTAATATATTTTATTTAGTGCCAATCCGAAAGAGACGAGTTACATTCTAGATTTGTGTCGGCTATATTTGAGCTGCAACAAAAAACGGGTTTAAAGAATGTACTCTTAGAAAAAAAATTAGAAAAGTTATCGGATTTGCTAGAGCAACGTGAAGCGCAGATTAGCGAAGTGTTAGCTGCTGCTCAATTAGATCCTGCGGCAGTGGTTAATATGAATAAAAAATTAGAGGTACACATTAAATACAATCTTATCACAATTATGTGAATTAAATACGAATATGATAATAATGCAACATTTCTTTGTAGGATATGCTCAATAGAAAAAATACTGCAATACAAGACCTACAATATGAATTAGCAAAAGTATGTAAAGCACATGACGATTTGTTAGCAGTTTATGAGAGTAAATTGCAAGAATATGGAATTCCCAAAACTGAACTTGGATTTCAACCTTTGAGAATGAAGATAAATGGTGCGAAATTGGGTTTAGGTCCAGCTGGTCTCGTTACCGCAAATCAGTAATACATTTTAAAAATATTTATATATAATCGATTTTATGAAAATTTTATATTGTCTTGTCTAAGAAAATTGTGACAAGTGTTTTATCATTACTTTTTATAGATTTTAGTGAAAGAGAGATAATAAGTTTTTAGTAAGCCGTACAATTTGATATGTATTTAGTACTGTATAGGATATTTGATAATACGCGCATTTAATACACCTAGCGATGAACTTGGAAAAACTTGAAATGTTATTTTTGAGCAAGATCGATATATGTACAGAATTTTTTGACACAGAGTATTTTTATTCTGTAAAACAAATACACTTTAGCTTATGCGTTATATTTTCAAAAATTACATAAAATTATCACAGAGAATGTACAGAGTAGATCGTATTATGCCTGGAAGTTGTATAGCCTCAGTAATTATTCAACATATTTATGCTTTTGCTTCTAATCATATTTCTTGTCGCAGTTAATGTTGGCAATGAAAAATCCGAAATCGTATATATTCAGCTTATATATTTTCATTTCTATTACTAATTGCATAACTCCATTTTATGCTCCATCTTGTTAAATATTCAACAACTGGCAGGCACAAATACATTGAAAACATTCATATATAGATATTAACATATAGATATTAGACACTGACTATAGTCTAACTTGTAAAACACTGTAAGTCAAATACATCAGGTCACATGGTTAATAAATTTCACTGGCTTTGTGTAAAATATTTCCCCATTCGTTTCTCACGCAATAATAGTAATAGTCTGTAAACTTTTCCATTTTATAATACTTTACGGTTAAGTGAAGAAATAATTTATCATTTGCTCACAGATTTGTAAATATTATACAACACTTTGTATAGATATAATTTTATAATACATATATAGATGTGTATATATATATATATATTATACATATATATTTATATATATGCTTA